ATATATATATATATATACATATATATATATACATATATTTCTTTTCTTTTTCCCCCCAGTGCTAAGGATGGAACCCAGGGGCTCACACATTGTAGGCAAGTGCTCTACCACTAAGCTACATCCCCAGCTCCCCTTCTCTTTTTTTTTGACATTGCTAGGGATTATACCATACTGGAGGCATTCTACCACTGAGTTATATCTCCAGCCCTCTTATTTTTGGGGGGAGTGAGTGTCAGGGATTGAACTCAGAGGCACTCAGCCACTGAGCCACATCCTCAGTCCTTTTTTGTATTTTAGAGATAGGGTCTCATTGAGTTGCTTAGCACCTCGCTGGCTTTGAACTCAAAATCCTCCTGTCTCAACCTCCCATGCCGCTGAGATTACAGGCATGCACCACCATGCCTGTCTTATTTTTTTTTTTTATTTTGAGACAGGGTCTTGCAAGGTGTCCAGGCTGGCCTTAAGTTTACAATCCTCCTGCCTCAGCCTCCAGAGTCGGTGGAGTTACAGGCATGTACCACCATGACTGGACTTTTTTTTTTTTTTTTTAATAAGTAAAAACATAATATTGGAGCTAGGAGGGATTCATCAGTCTGAATTAGGATTCCCTCCTTCTCCCATCCTGCAGATCTGGAAACTGAGGCTTATTAGGCTTTGTCTACGTGGTTGAGGGTATAGCTCAGTAGTACAGCACTTGCCTAGCAATGTTTGAGGCTCTGGGTCCCATCCCTAGCCCTACAGAGAAAAAGGGGGAAAAAAATTTGCTTAAGGCCCCCAAAGGAGCTGGTTATCACAGGCAGATTCTGAGACTCTCCAGGAGGGAACTGCAAGCTTCCTAAATCCCAGGTCTTGGCATACCTGACCTCTGCCTGTGGCACATACTATTGGCACAAATGTCTGCTCCTGGTACATGCATGAATGGCCAGCCACTCTCATGAGGGTCCAGGGGATGAGGGTGGTGGGCTGTGACCCTTATGCCATTAGGCCACAGTCTTCTCCAGCTCTGACAATTGCCAGAGGTGGTGAGCAGGCAGGAACCACAAGCTTCCCTATTGTACAAATGGGAAGATGGAGTTCCTGGGGACAAGGAGATACGTGGCCAACCAGGGTGAGTTCCAGTGGGGGATGCTGGCAGTGACAGCGCTGCGTGGTTATCTAGGGCAGGTCTGGGACCAATGAGATGGCATCCTGTCTCATGCCACTCTCTGAGGCCCACTGGGAGAGACCCTAACACAGGAACCCCCCCCCCCCCCCCAGGGCTGGGATTCACTCCCTCTTGCTCATGCCCCCAGGTCATCGTGCAGCGATCTCTATCTGCCCGCAACCTGAACCACGCCAAGGCGGGCTCCATCCTTGCCAGCTACCTCAAGATGCTGCCCATGGGCCTGATGATCATGCCAGGCATGATCAGCCGTGCATTATTCCCAGGTAGGAAGGCTCTGGTGCTGAGCCAGGGCTGCAGGGCACTCGGGGTTCTGAGGCTTCATCCTACAGAGGCAATTAGAAGGAAAGGCAAAGGAGGGACGTGAGCTATTGCCCAGATGGAAGGAGGCGGGGAGTGGTCCCCAGGGCCATAAAGGGATGGACACAGATATGACTTAGCACAAGGTCCAGATGAGGACCACGTATGGTTGTGTGACCTTTATACTCTGTGCTCTGCCATTCCCTTGTCTTCAAACTAGGGGACTTAACTACCCACCTGACAGGCAGCAGAAAGATACTACAACTCCAAGTGTGTGGACCTCTGGCTGTGGACACGTGCATTTCCCAAGGTTGCTTTGTCGGGACCCTGAGACCAACAGTCCCCAGCATAGAAATAGCCTGCCAATTGGCTCTGGGTGGTTCCCACCCCAGCCCATTCAGCAGTTTTTCCGTCTATAACAAGGACAGCCTTCCAAGTCTGAAACAGTAGCCCAAGGGATGGTGGCTCTCAGGTCACTTGCAGGGGGGACTCCTTTGAGTCCTGGGACAAGGGACCCCAACCCACCTGTGCTGCCTTGTCTGAAGAGCGCTGGGCCTGCATCTTCCTTGATGCACCTGCCTCTTCTCTCCCCCGACCATGTGCCCATGGGGAGCTGCCCAGGGGTCCACCAAAAGTCCCTCGGGTTATGTGGGGTACGCTCAGCTGCCGGCGGGGTGGTTGGGCTGGTCCATTGGCCATCTGCTCTGAGTGGCGCCTTCGAAGAGGGACTGAGCGCTCCCTCACCTCGAAGTATTCATCTGACATGGAAGAGGCCACAGAGGGCCGCCGGAGTCCAGGGCCATGGCCGGAGCTGCCTGAGAGGCTGTCCTGGTCACTGAGAGTCACGTAGTCATCATCGTCTTCCTCTTCTTCCCCACAATCCAGCCCATTGGGGAACACTGACCCAATGCCATCAGGGTCATCCTGGGTCACAGACAGCTGCCCCTGGAGTGGGGGATGGCTTGGGTCCACCGTCCTGGGTAGCCTGAGGTCTGTCCCATTAGGAGGTGTCTCCTCTTTTGGGGTCTCCAGAGCCCAGTCCACGTCACTGCCATCCTGGGCAAGCAGGTCTGCCACGGGGACTGTCCGGGGCTTCGGCACAGGGAGCTGAGGCTCGGGGTCTCCCCGGGGAAGGCCATTCTCAGCTGGGACCCCATCGTGGGGGTCACTGGGCCCTGGGGGTGGGCAGGGCTCTGGGGAGGGGCGTCGTTCCTGGCTCTGTTTCCACAGCTGGTGCTGGGTACTGGCATGGGATGTGTCACGGATCTTGATGCGGTTCATCTGACTGGGCTGGGGGTTCCAGATATTGGGGTCTATAATGTTGATGTAGCCCAGGATGTCACTGCCAGGCTCCGGGTCCGGCTCTACCCATGTGGGCAGGTATTCAAACATATTGGCCTTCTCCAGGTTGAGCAGTCCCGGATGGACAGGTGGCAGCAACTCAGGGAAATCCCCTGGCCGCTCAGCCAGCATGGGGCCCTGCAGCCCTGGAGGTCGCTTCGTCTCCTCTTTCTCGGAGGAGGTCTTGGCAATCTCATCGGCGCTCTTGGCCTTGACCAGCGCATACTTGGGGTTGACAAGCTTCTTGGCCACGGTGTCCGTGGATACCAGGGGGACTACAGACGGTAGTACGATGGGTTCTGGCTCCGGCTCCTTCTCCATGGGGATGTCCTTGAGGTTGACACTCTGAGACATGAGGTACAGCTCCTGGAACTGCCGGTCAAACATCTCCACCACCTGGCCAGACAGCACGGAGATCACGTTCCGGTCTGTCCTGGCAGCTGACCACGTGAAACTGTAACAGAGGCAGAGGCAGGTCTGGTCAGGGACAGGGACTTCCCTCCGGCCCAAGAACCCTATTCTAGTGAGCCTTCCTGATCCCTGCTGCAACGGACATCCAAAGAGTCCACTGTGTATCCCCTGGCTGGTGTTCACCAGATGGTGGCTGCAGGGTTCTGGGACTGAGAAATGGCCTGTGGGGCACAGAGGGCAGGGCACAGCTGTGGAGTCAAAACTGAGTCCCGACTGCTACTGGATTCATTGAGACGCTCATGTCCAGTAGGACCCGGTGGCTAGTGCCATCACAGGTCTTAGCTACCACCAACCCTGGAGTGACTGTAGGCAGCCCCTGCCCTGCTACACCATCTAATGGTACCTAAGGTTGCACCTGTCCCTACTGATGACACTCAGAACAACCATCCTGTGGGCTTGGGAGGGGGCAGCTTGGCCCCCACCTCACCTCCAGGCAGGTTTAACACTTTAGGCTGGAACAACCGTCTCCTCGGACAAAAGCCTCCTTGCCCGCCCCCAGACATAGGCAGCCAGGTGTGCCCAGCTCTGCATACACCTTAGCAGTTTTAGGACCAATGAACCGGAATAACCAGGGTGTCCGGATTAAGGGCAGAAACCAGCTGGGAACCAAAGGCGCCAACTCCTCACAGCGGCCATGGAGAAATCACCTGTAGGAGCCGCACACAGCCCGGTCTCCATCCACGAACATGAACTTCTGGGCCAGGGCGCCCTTGAACTTGGTGGCTGATCGTGTGAAGAACTCAGTTCCCCCAGTGCTGCGCACCCTAAGATTCTGTGTTGGGGGACAGAGAGGCAGAATCAGTCAACCATCACACTGAGATCCCAGGGCTGGGTAGAGAGGAGACTGCCCAGGACTCAGGGAGGGCTTTGCAGGGGACAAGGATAAAGAAGAGATCGTGAGATCTGGGGAAAGGGCTGGTGTGTCTGAGACTGCAGGGTCCAGGTAAAGGGGGGACACAGAGGACCCAACACTGGTGATGAAGGGTCTGAGCCAGGATGGTCTTGGGCTTTGGCCCCCAGTGTCACAGAACAGCACCAAACAGGACAGAAATTAAGTGGCCAGGCCTGTTTGCGAAATGCCACCGTAGTGGGCAGAAGCCATTGGAGCATTTTTGAAAAATTATTATTATTATTTTTAGACAGGTTTCATAAGTTGCTGAGGGTCTTGCTAAGTTGCTGAGGCTGGCCTCAAACTTGGGCTCCTCCTGCCTCACCCAACCTTGTAGCTGCGATTACAGGCGTGCGTCACCGTGTCCAGCTATGTCATACGGTATCAAATGGGAGGGTGATATTTTGGAAAGGTCCCATGGACGGCAGTGGCTATGCAGATGAGAGATGAGGAAGGAGAGTGAGGGGCAGGAAGGGGGATGAATGGCCCTGAGGAATCTGGGTCTTCCACTCTAACAACTCCATGGTCCCTCCGGATGAGTGACCGGCCATGCCTGTCCCTGCTGAGTTCTGCTCCTGAGGGCAGGACTCAGCAAACTCTCCTACTTCCCCATTGCCAGGGCACCTCCTGGCACCCCAGACAGGTTCAATAAACAGTCAGATTCAATTCTTCACCAAGCTTGCAGGGCTGGGCTCAGAAGCAGGTCAGAAAGGCTCTCGGACCACAGGAGGGGAAAGGAGACCCAGAGAGAGGAGAGGACTCTCCCAGGCATGAGAAGCAGAGCTGGATAAATAGCTGCTGGTTGTTCTCTGGTCCCTGGCCATGTAAGGGGTCTCTTTTCCCAGAGAGGAGTCTCTGGAACCGTCAGAGGTCCCTCCAGCCAGTGCTGCACATGTGGACCCAGGAAGTGCACAGTGAGCCTGGCTGAGACCCAGGCATCTAGGGATAGCCAGGGACTTTCAGAAGTGAGCCTCAGGTGGACAGGGGACCTGGGGCCATAGGGTCCGAGCCTCACCAGGGCATTGCACTAGCATGAAGGCCTCCAGGGGTCCCCAGAGTCTGTTTCAGGAGGCCTGTGATGAGGCTTGGGGTTCTTGGTGTGGCTGGTTTATTCATTCACGGATCACACCCAGGGACCCGACCTTGGAGCTACAGCCTAAGCCCTTTGCTTTTTTTTTTTCCTTTACTTTTGCTTTGAGATAGTGCCTCGTCAGTTGCTGGCCTGGAACGTGAGATCCTCCTGCCTCAGTCACTTGAGGAGCTGGGTTTAAAGATGTGCACCACCACACCTGGTCAGGGAATTTAATTTTAACACAGGTTTCAGGGATCCTGACACCTCAAGAGCATCCTGACTGGTCTGAGTGAACACCTCCTACAATAGGAGTCTCGCTCTCGACCAGCATGGGGCATCAGGCAGTGTGACACATTCTTCGTCAGACTGAGCTGTGACTTATCTACCTGTCCCCTTATCCACTCCAAGGCCAAGCTTATTAACTGCCCACAGGTTCAATTATTCATTGACCCCTGCTAAGGCCCCCAGGGGTGGACAGAGATGACAGTGGCAAGGATCCTGCTATGGGGGAAGCAGATGAGTAAACACGGCAACAATCAGGAACACTCAGGATGAGGAACCCCGGGAGTGACCTGGGGGAGGCTCCCAGGAGAGACGGCATGGGTCAGGGTGGGAGAAGGGTGAAGCATTCCAGGCAGAGGGACTTCCAAAGGCCTGGCTCAAAGGAGTACCTCAGGGAGGAATGGTGGGTGAGGGAGCCTGCACGGCAGGCTGAGCCTGAAGCTGAGGAAAGACCCTACACCTGCTTAAGAGCCTTCACTAGGGGCAGTAGGGAGCCATGGAAGGATTTAGAGCAAAATCTAAATGTCAAGAACCGTTCTGGCTCTTCTAGAGGAGAGAATGTAAGAGACGAGTGTGGAGACAGCAGGTAGAGAGGGGGGGGCTGTTGCAGGCGAGGGAGGCGGACCTGAAAGAGGGAGAGGACCATCCACCACTGTCCCCTGCTCCAGGGCTCCTTTCCGTGTCCCACCCACCTCTGGCTGGGGCAGCCCCAAGCTTATCCACAGAGGATATGACAGGAATGGGCCCCTGGGTGGGTCCTCACGCAATGCTCACCCAGCCGTGGGGTGAACAATCGTCTTGCTGTTGGGCCCAACCCAGAAGGCAGATAAGCCTCTGTTCCCAGGAAAGGCTCTCTAGGCCCCCGCCCCGCAGGCTGCCTGTCTGCACAGCTGGCCACGACCCAGGACAATTAGCACTCGTGACTTTGTACCCAACACAAGAGCACACTTGGGGATGAGAGGTCAGAATAAAGAACTTAGAGGCCTTCTCCTGTCACCTGGGCCCAACCACAGCCCAGCTCTGCAGCCGCCCGTGGTTTCCACGCCCAGTGGTGTGTGCTGGGGCCATACACCTGTCCTCAGCCACCAGCCTCTACACCCCTCTCACCAGTGCCACTCCTCCCTGCAAAACTTTGTCCTGATGAGAGGCTCGGAAAGTCACCGCTTACATCTTAGGAGTGACTCAACTACCACATAAGGCAGACCTTGTGCTGCTGACCCACTGTGTGACTCTAAGCAAGCTGTTGGCCCTCTCTGGTCTTTAGTTTCCCTGTCTGCACACTGAAGGGTTGGCCCTAAACTCAGAGGCTCATCTAACTCTAGGGCTCAGCAGCAGGTGGGGGCTTGCAGCAGGGCCCTCCATCCTCTGCCTCATGGGCTGTCCCCAGCCTGTTCCTGGGTGGGCCCCACCCCATGAGGCCTGTCCTGGATGAAGTAACGTCTCATGTGTCTGGGCTCGCGTGAGCAGAGGCGGATGATTCCACAAAGCTGCATTGTCTCCCAGGTTCCGGGATACCCCCGGCATAGGACGGGCAGATGCATGGAAAGACAGGCAGGCTGGCCCAAGTGGGTGTCCTGGGTACATCCTTGGAGCCTCTGGAACCTCAGAAGGTCAAGGGCAAGTCAGAGCAGGGCAAGGGAATGGAAGACAGTCAGACAGCTCTTCATCTGCTCTCAGAAGGCAGCTTCTTCCCCAAGTGCATATGGGGGCAAATTGCAGCCCATTACCCTGAAACTACCACCAGGCCACCTATGCTCATAAGACCATGTGACCCAACTGAGGCCAGACCCCTAGTGCAGGGTGGGTCTGGGCACTCTTGAGCTCTGGTCAGATGCGGGAGCCAGTCCTGCTACCAACAAGGCCTCTCCACACCTGTTTTCTCCTCTGCAAAGCCAAGTGCGGGGGTCCTGGAAAGTGTCTGGCTCTCACCGAGGGACCCAGGAGCTCCAGGTGGCACAAAGGCTGTAACTGTACAGTGCAGTGGGGTGACTTACAAAGGGGACCAGAAAACATCTGGAATGGCAGCTGGCCAGGTGGACTCAGGAAGAGGAAATGCCTTTCCCACAGTCTCCCAGTGGGTGGGGTTCAGCCCAGACTAGAGGATTGAGGACAGGTCTTCAGCTGTCTGTCCTCTGCAAGAGGCCTGTGGCATCCTGGGTCAGAGGAGGAGTGGAGGCCTACAGATGTGCCCCGACCAGGCCTGGGCTGAGAACAGGGAACAAGTGTGCAGAAGCTCGAGGACAGAATCCAATGTGACAGGGGAGCCCGCATGTCTCCACTAAGGGACAGGTTTCACTCTATAATGCGGCTACGGGAAGTCTTTTATGAACCATCTTCATGGGACAGGGGATGGAAGGGATGGGACAGGGCTGAGCCAGTTTAGCTCCAAGCCCTTATCTGAGGGGCACCTGGGTCTTCTAGACCAGGGCTGCTCAGCCTCAGCACAACTGATGTAGGTGAGGAAATTCTCAGGGGAAAGGTCTGGGCACTAACAACATCCTTGGCCTCTACCCCTAGATGCCAAATGATTTGTGACAGTAAACTATGTCTCTGGACATTGCCCTCAGCAGGGCAGACCCCCACCCCTTCACCTCCTATTTAAGACCCCTCCCTATACCCTGGATCCAACACAGATCCAGACCTGGGCCAGAGAAAGCAAAGTGCAGATGTACCCAAGAGGGAAGGGAGCAGGGGGTCCCAGCCCATCTCCCACATCGGGCTCCGTGCCCTGCTTTCCACACTGACTGGGATGCATCTTAGGGCCTCCCCCACCCCTCCTCCAGCTCAGGAGAGGCAGGCAGGCCTGTCCAGTGAGGGACCTGAACTACAGCTGAGCCTGGCGTCCTCACATGTGCCTTCCCACGGTCACCCGGCTGACATTTCTTTGTTGAGTAGAAATGGGTCCAGCCTTCGCCCCAGTGGCTGCTGGTTTTTCCTGTTTGGCTGCACAAAGCAAAGTACCCAGTCTGTGTAGGCCATGAGCCTCAAGGCCCAATCTGACTCCCATTGGCTCTGGGGCACCCCTCCCGCACCCAAGAGCACCCCTAAATGGGGCCTAGTCTCTGGTCTGGTCTTGTGACCCTAGAAGAGGCAAAGAAGCTGGGTGACGGGCTGGGTCTTCTTCCCAAGGCCCGTTCTCCATTTGAAATATGGAAGGATCATCCCCCTAGCAGCAGGCTGGGGTGCTCGGGATGTCTGGGTAGGGGCTTTACGTATCGCTCACACTTGGGAGACCAGGAGCAGGTCAGTCTGAGCATTCATGGTGGCCATTCCCAGAATGTACTGGTACAAGCTCATAGCTCAGGAGGAAGGAAGGAAGTGAGGGTGAATCTCAAGACAGATGGAAATGGAAGCCTCTTAGCACTCAGACCACAGCTGGGGTCTGATCGGAAGGATCCTGCCTGTCCCCAAAGACAGGAAAGTAAGGCTCAGACATGGCCCATATTGTCCCTCCAGATACCCTATAGTCACTAATATGACCCCCACCCCAGGCACAAGGGCCTCACAGAACTCAGGGCAGGTCGGTGCAGAGCTGGGCCAGGGCAGCAAGCGGCTGAGGGCGGGCCCAGGGATTACCGGCAAAGGAAGTGTCCCGAGACAGGTCTGGGCCCAGCCAGCCGGCGGGCAGGGAGGAAGCTGGGCAGGCAGGACCTCAACAAGGTGACACCTGGCCAGGGCTGGGCCCACAGGAGCCTCTGGCCACATGCCCAGGGCTGCAGATGGGGCAGCTTAGAGGTGAGAATGAGGAAGCCAGGCTCACACTTTCTCATGAAGGTGTGTGGCTCCTGGATAGGTCCACCCTGTAAACCCTGCCGCCCTCCCAGAGAGGGAGACAGCCAAATGGTGAGTGGGACAGGGGGAGAAGCCCAGGAACAGCTGTGTGAGCTGTCCCTCCCCTGCCCTGAGTGGTCAGGGGGCCCGCTGACAGGCCTGTGGTACGTGGGGCGGGGATGGCTTCACACCCAAGCCCAGGGCCTGGGGTTTGTAATTTATTGTTATTGCCAACAGCTGCATTACTGTTTTCAACTCTCAAAGTGCCTGAACAACCACCATCCTTCAGTGCCATCCTCAAGTAACCCTAGGAGGCACTGTCACAGCCGTGAGGCACTGGAGGCCCAGAGACTAGAGCCACACACGGTGGTCGGGAGACCATGTGTGCACCGGGTGTTTCTCTACTCTCCTTGCCAGAGTCGATTTCTCTCTACTGGCTTTTGGGTCAGCCCACTTTGGCGGAATGTCTTTGGCCTCCCTCAGTTTCCTCATCTGTAGGAGCCCTGTCCAGATGGCCACTGACCCCTTGTAGCTCAAGCACTCCAGACTCCCGTGACATCACAGCCACCCTCACTGCTCACTTCCAGAGAGTTCAGCACAGGGGCGGTGAGGGCTTCTCAGCCGGGAAGGAGCCTCGGAGCACAGGGCAGGGCCCCAAGCCTCCCCAGTGGCCAGTTCTGCATCAGGGTCCCATTTGGCAGCCACAGCTATACCTGCCTCTCACACCAGGGATGAGCGGGCTGAGTGACGATGGGTGTGAAGCAATCACTGGGCCTGTGGCAGGTGCATGTGGGCATGTGGCTCTGCCAGGGTCTCTTCCCGGGTGCAGGAAGGGCTGGCCAGGCAGGTGCTGCCCACAGAGATGGAACCTCTGCGGTCCAATTCCCAAACTGTCTTTTTCCACACTGTGACTCTGGCATGAGCTATATGCCACCAGAGTGGAATCACGGCACTAATTACACAGCGGGCAGGCGTGGGGCTGAGGGTCAACCTACCAGAGAGACCACATGAAAAATATTCCTGAAATTAGAGACTCGAAGCCGAGAACTCACACCCACTTGAAAGAACTCAGCTTGGGGTGGGGGTGGGGGGCTTTGACAATTGCCGGCAAATTACAAGCCTGGTGCCCGGCTCCTGGGTAACCACCCCAGCGCGGCCCACCCTCCTGCATCTATCTGTGCTCCAATCACAGGCCTGAAGCTCTGAGAGGTGGGACCCTCAGAGGTTGGTATGAGCCTGGGGCTAGCCCCCCTAGCCCCTGATCTCTAGCTTAGCAGCAGTGGCACCTAGGCACAGGAGTGTTTCCTCATGTGCCAAATGGGAACAACACAGACCAATCCCACTGGGTTATCAGGGGGATTATATAAGCTAACACAAAAGAAGTGCTCCATTGGGGCCTGACACACATCAAATGCTACAGAAGCATTAACTGTTTCTAGGCATGCTGATCTGTACTCAGAGAAACGTTCTGCATACAGTAGGTGTCAAGCATTGGTTGGATGGAAGAAGGACTCTCCTTTACCCCCCCCAGAAAGGCGGCAAATGCCAGGGTACCTGAGTAGAAGAGCCCAGCCACACCATCTCATCTGCCCTTCTGCTGAACCAGGAGCCCAGAAGGGGGAAGCAACTAGCTCAAGGACACACAGCTAAGCAATGCTGAGAACCTGGGCCCCACCTCCCGATTCTGTGGGGGGTCCTCTCTTCTCCACCTCTGTTCCATCATCTCTCCCAACCCAACATCTGTTCTACTGTGCTCATGCACCTCAAATCCATTTCAACTCTGACCTTGGACTGAGACAGACTTGCATTTAGCCTAAGAAAGAGCTCCCTGTTGTCCGAGCTCTCTAGATAGAGCCATAGGCTGCCTAAGGTTACAAATGTGGCACAGGCTGCTGTGAAATATTAATGTGATAGGGTACCTGACGCGAGCATCAGCAGCTGCTTGGTAGGCACTTAATCAGTGTTTGCCTGTTGGAGGTACTATCTTGTCCCTTGGCCATTCAAGCTATGTGACTGCTTTGGGCCACAGGCTCTAGGTGCTTGAACTCAGCGTGCACCTACTGGACTCCTCCGCAATAGGAAGGTGCTCCAAGTGTTTGTTGGCTGAATGATACTCATCCTCCAGCCACCTGGGCAAGTGGAGAGCCAGCTCACCTTGAGGTGTCCCAGGTGCATGCGGGCCCGCTCACACATGTGCAGGAAGTACTTGACGTTGCTCTCATCCACAATGATGTACACAGCCACCTTCCTCTTGAAGCCAGCATCCAGCAGGTCTTTGAAGATGTCCACATCGGTAAACATGTCCATGACCACAGCTATCACCTGGGAGCAGAGACAGAGAGAGAGAGACCAGGTCTGCCAAAGAACCCAGCAGTGTAGACGGGGCCTCGGCAGATCACCCCCGTCTTGCGGAGGCACATGCTGGCCCCCGGCCCAGCAGCCGCAGGAACAGGACTGGACAGTGATCTGGGCCAAGATGGGATACTCAGAACACAGAGATTCTCACTGGGGCCTTGGGCTGGACTCCATGGGGACAGCAGGAAACAGAGCCATTCCAATGCACTGCCCTTTCTGAACAATGAGACCACAGAAAATGGCTCAGCTGACCCACAGTGAGGAGCGCTGAGAGAGGAGTGGGAAGCGTCGGTCTGTGCGTGCCCCAGTGGCCCCCAGGACACCTCCTTCTTTACCCCTGGCACATGCTCGGACCAGCACTCAGGAGGACCCAGAGAGACTAGGGGCTCAGCCCAGGGACTCTGTGTTGGCTCACTGCTGGTCACATGCTCAGGTCAGGACCTGCTAGGCCCTGCCTCTTCCCAATATCTGGTGACACTGAGATGAACCAGACAGCTGGGGAGGAGGGCAGCAGCTGGGGCGGCCCTCGCCTGGGGGTCCCCATGTCTCTGAGCTGGGGCAGACTTTGACAGGCCTCCCCTGCCACCAACTCCTGTCTGGTCTGAACAGAGACCAGACCAGCATGGAATCGTTCTTGTCCCCAGACAACATCTGTCCCCACCACGGGTAGTGCATCTACCGATCTTCGGCCTGTCCAAGGCCAATTGGTGGCCTCAGTTTCCCCAGCCTGGGCAGGAGGTCAGGTGAGTAAAGGCACAGGACAGAGCGGACGTGGGGACAGGGCTGGCCGTGGAGCCTCACTTCCTCCCTGGCCACTTGGCAGCATGGGCCAATAGCCAGACCAGAGCCTGTGCCTGTCACTGTTGAATCACGCAGGTGTCCAGCTCTCTAGGCTGCCTGTTCCTCCCACCCTTCCAGGATGGCCCCACTATCCTGAGTCTGAGAACTGCCCAGAATCTTACACAGAGAGGCTAGGAATGTGCCCTAGGCCACACAGCAAGCTGGGGAGTCAAGCTGGAACTCATCCAGGCCTGCCGGGGAGCCAAACTCACCCTACCCCTGCCATAAGAGTGACCTGGAGGTCTCCCTTCACTAGGATCTATACATGCAGGTGATGGGAGGCAGCCTGGAGCCTGCCAGGGACGTGCCTGCACACCCACAGTGAGCTCACCAGGCTGGGCCCTGCAGGCCCATCTGGGCTCCTCCTGGGCCTCAGGCCCCTGCTACACCCATGGCTCATCTGGCACCAAAGCCCGAACTCCTGCACAGAGAAGGGTTCCATGCCTACCCTGCTATGATCTTGCTGTGTGACCCTGAGCAAGACCCTTAACCCCTCTGGGCATCCAGTTTTCTCATCAATGTAACAGGCTCCATCTCTCAGGAGAACTGAGCGTGCTCAGATACAGCCACATGTGTGAAGGACCCTGACACAGAAGAGAGCCTCAGGGATACCTATTTGATGACCCTTCCTGCACCTTCCAGGCCACAGGCAATCCTCCTGCTCCTCCAGCACCAGCAAGCACCCTAGCAGTGAGATCCCACACGCAGCTGGATAAACTGAGGCTCCGTAAGGCCAACAGACTTGCTGGAAGTCACAGAGAAAGTCAGGGCAGAACCTGAACCAACCCCAAGCCGGGCCAGGGCTGGTCTCGGGCCTCTTCCCTTGGACACATGGTCCCTGTGGTGCTCTCTGCTAAAGCACAGAGAGTGAGGGTGCAGGACCTGTCAGTCCTCCCTGGATGCAGAGGCTGTCCTCTCCCCACCCTCTAAGGAACAGACTCAAGAGTCACCGTCTCCGAGTCTGAAGGGCTGTTTGGGTACAGTCAACGCAGAGGCCAGGACTGGCAGGTACAAGCCAGAGGGAGGCAGGTGGGAGCACCAGGTGAGGAAGTGCTTTCTGCCCCCAGAGCTGCCCAGGGCTGAGCAGGTATCTTGAGAGGGAGTGAGCTCCCCAACCCAGGAGGCATTCAAGAAAAGACAGAGATTGCTTGGGAGGAGGTAGATAAGAGGGCAGAGGAGACATCATGTCTGCTGAGTGGCTCTGATGACCTTGGATTTTACCACCAGCTGAGGGTAATGATACCCTGAGGTTGGGGGCACGACGGCAGCAAGGATGTGGGGCCTGCTGCTGTAGCCCCACGACACCCTTGAATGAGCCGCTCCTGGGCAGGCAAATGGCCTCACGTGCTGCCCTGGAAAGGGGCCTGATGGGGCACAGCCAATACGCCTCTCCCCGGAGGCACACCAGCCCCCTCCCACCCCTAGATCGGTCAGGGCAGGTTCCAGGCCCTGCGCACCTTGGCGAATGGGTACTAGCCCTGGGCTTGGGTGGGGGGGACATGCCCCAACAGGACCTGTGCCACGTGCAGTTCCCCCAAGCTGTCCTTAGCCAAGAACGTACCTGCTTCAGGGTGCATGTGCTGGAGGCTGGCTCTGTTGGGGCCTGCCCCTCAACGGGGATCCCCCACAGGTCCATGGCTTGGGGCTGGCTCTCCCCAGGGTAGCATTAGGCTATGTGCCTAGTGGTCAAAGGAGGGCTTGTAACAGGTGCTGGCTGATGGTGGTGACAGGGCCAGCCAGCCACATGGCTCCCTGGGCTCTGGGATGTTGCTAGAATAGGGACAGGGTGTCTGGTGCTCCCAGCAACCCTCTCAGCTTGACCTGTCCCTGGTCAGGCCACCAAGGTTTCCTAGAGGTCCCTGAGACATATCATGCCTTCCCATTTTATAGATGGGAAAGCTGGGACCAGAGTCAGCAACTGAGGCCCTGGGTTCCCACCCTCTGCCAGTCCCCAGCCCTCGCCTGGCTTGAAGGTTTACCAACTGACCTTGAGAACCGCAACTGGCTCCTTTGGTCTTCACAAACACACCGCAAGCAGCAGTTCTTTTCTCGGTTTTGCAGATGAGGAAACCGAGGGATGGTGGCATTCATTCCCCTGCCTAATGATCTGTTTGGATGGCCCAGCTCACTTGTGACACAGAGCTCATCAAGGGCAGAGCCCAGCATTGGGCATGGCCTGAGGCAGGTCTCAGAAAGCTTTGATCAAGTGAGAAGGAGACTCAGTGGCTCCTCGGCCCACACGAGTGACTGCGTTAATCAGGGCACAAGCCACAGCCCCTCCTGGTCCCTCGGTTTCCCCATCTGCCTAATGGGAGCGTGGGCCTGGCTCACCCCTAAGTTCTAACCAGTCTGAATACCCTCCCTGCAGAGGAGAGCACCAGTCACCTTCCACAACCCCAGACGGAGCCCCCCGCAAAAGGGAGAGCAGGCCCAGCGCTGGTGCTCTGGTTGGGGCAGTGAAGGAGCAGCCCCCTCCCTAGGCCTCAGTTTCCTCATCGGTAGAACAGAGGGTTAAGACAAGATGCCCAGGATGTTCCTCTCTGATGTCTTTGAAGGACCCCACCTTTCTATGCCCTTGTGCCCTGCCCACGGCCCGGCACAGCCTGTCTAGGCTTGGCTGGCACATCTCGCCACACCCATGGGCCTGTGACAGGAAGTGCCAGTGGCCACCCCACCTCCCTGCACCCCCAAAGGCCCCACCAGGCGCCGACACCAGTCTATGACTCCCGGCACCCACAACAACTGTTTTCTAGCCTCCCTTTGACCACAGACTCCACTCTACAGAGTGGGTGGAACAGGTCTCCTCGAAAGCACCCGTCCAAGGAGAGCAGGGTGAGACTGGCTGGTCAGAAACAGCTGGAAACCACGGGTGCATGACCCCAGCGGCTGCAGCAGCACCTCTCCTGGGGGGCTCTGACCCCACCGGTCCCTCTCTCCAAGTTGTCCTGCCTCAAGCCACTGGCACTCCATACAGGCTGTCTCCTTGTGGGCCACTTGCCGATTTTGTCTCAATCGGGACAATTCCCATCCATCCTTCGAAACCCAACCCAAGTGCTCCTCCTGCCTGGCTCCCCCGTCTTCACTCCAGCCTGTCTGGCTTGAGCTCGGATCACTGGTGCATTTCTGGAGATACACAGAGATGGAGTCTCCCCAAGGCCTGGAACCTGAGATAGGAGTCAAGAAAGAGAATTTCCTGTACATGGCAAGCCCTCTGGAACAGCCCCACCTGCCTTACCCTCCCAGGCCTTGAAGACTCCTGAGAAGGCAAAGTGCTCCAGAGGGGAAGGAGAGAGACACATCCCAGTCCTCCCCAGAGCCTGGAGCCCTGGAGGGGTCTCAACTCAGTGCACAACTACAGACAAGTCACTTTCCCCACCTGGGAAGTGCAGGAGATGGGACAGAGTCTGGGTTTGCAATTATCTGCTCTGATGATGGATGGCCTCGGGACCACCTGACTCCCATCCTAGCTCCTCCTGAGAAGCTGTAACATCAGGCAAGTGCCTTAGTTCTCAAGGGGACAGTAACAATCCCCATGCACAAGGACACCGGGGTGAGGAAGTGCATATGGATGGATGGGCCAAGCAGCAGCTCCACTCAGCCCCTCCTCCTCCCAACAACCAGAACCACAGAACCCTGAGGGGTGCACAGGCCAGGGATTATCACCCCCCACCACCCTGTCTCCTGCTTCTCTCCAGGCCAGCTAGAAGCCCAGGAAACAGGGACTGATACGTAGTTGCAGCTGCTAATGGGAATGACAACACTGTCACCCAGTCTTAAAGGCTGGGGAAATGGCCATCAAGACCTGAGATACAACTTCCACTCCCAGCCATGACAGAACAACAGAGACTGATTTTACCCTCCTGCTTTAGCAATAAAAAAAAATCAGGCAGAACTATGAAGCCAGAGCCATCAGGCAGCGTGGCACAGGGATCCCAGGGAGAACCCAACAAGGAGAGCCCCGAAAACACACCAGCTATCTCCAGGTGGCTTCCCCCGGGGGAGACCAGTGGTCTCCCTGAGCTGAGAAGACAGGATTTGCTCAGAGGGTGGCAGCTGGGATTTTTAGGACAGCGTACTAGAGGGGAGAAAACTGTACAAAGTGAACTCCAGAGACGTGTGGAGGGTCC